ATGCAAACAACCCTTTCATCGGAAAGTTTGTAGCCTGTTTCCATGTCTGCTTTATCCGCATCAAACCCTTTGACAAACCGACCAATTTCTACAACGGTGGGTCCAGGGGCTCCATCCGGGAACTGGAAATTCAGTATGTTCTTGACGATTACACTGGACATCTTTTTGTTTTCCTTTTCCTTACAAAGGTAGCCGGTTAGGGCTGACAAGGAAACACACACGAACGGTAGCTAATTATATGACTTTCAGCGCGGCGATTGTACAAAAGCGTCTTCTCGCAATGAGAAATGATCGTCAACTGTAGTTGAATAAATTAATTGGAATGTTCTTCGATTGCCAGTGAGCAATATATTAAGGAAATGGTCCATATCTGTTTCTGCTGTCAAAGTAGTTTCCTAGGGGAATTTACGTATTCTCGGCAACCTAAGCAGCGACCTTCTTTCTATAGCCTTTTTCTCTAAGGAACGCACACATATGCAGTATTGGTTTGTTTACAATCTTTTGCTGCCAGCTGCTCTAACAATTTCAGTCGAAAGAATTGTCAAAAACTGTTTTGAAACGCATTTACAAAGCTCAAATCTTCTCTAGTGAGAGCGAGTATTGTCGGCAACCAGTTTTTCTTCGGCAACCGTTCCATTTGAACTGCATGTAAATCTGCTGTTCTATTATCGGCAACTCGAAATCAGCTACAATTTGTAGTGCGTGTGTTTCATTTCAAGAAAACCTTGCTAGATTGCTTTTTCTCAGTGGTAAAAATATAGTCAAATTGAAGCTGAAAGCATAAAGAATCGTTTGCATGCATTCAGCGAAGTGTTTTCGTAAGAAAATCCAGTGAAAATAGTGTTTCAATTTGGGTTGCCGAAAATAGTCTGTCATGCCGAAGCCGTCATTTCCCCTATATGGAAACAAAAGGCTAATATACAACTTTTGTCAAAATGCAAATGTAGTTCATACTATAGAGGGTCGTTATTATACCATCTAATTCCGACGCAGTATCGAAATTTTATGTTTTAGTCAATGCATTTGATAGGATACAGTCACTAGATCATACAGTTTAGAGTGCTTAACCTGTACAGATCTTCATCAACCTTTGTCTGCGATATATAGTTCAAATCAGGTTGCCTCACATCATAGGTGTCATAAGAAGCCAAGCTCTACATAAATTAAATAAATCTGCAAAATAGCTCTGGATGAGAAAGTCGTCAGAAATGTGTCCTGAGCGCAGTTAAAAAAGCAAACTACTCAAAATGTTAATCTTGTACGTTTTCCCTGCTCGAAATGCTAATTATTTACTTAAGAGAAGTTGGGAAAGTGATACCTGGACAGTTTTCAAAATTCATTTAGTGAAAGTCAATCTTCATTGTTCATTTGAGAAACATTAATAAGGAAAATCACTGCAACCAATCGCTTGCTGAGCAATCATCAAAAGTAGAGCTTCCATTTTCCGGTGGTTTCCACCATCCAGGGATCCGAGAAATATTTATTTGATATCCCGGGAAATCCCGGGATTCCGGGAAGTGAACAAATATAGTAAATTGTTTTAATATTCGTATGTTTCATCTCCTTCGAAGAAAGATTTAAAAATTGAGATTCCTACAATACTAGGTACACCAGATTTAAGGACATATCTTCATTTTGAAGACATTTAAAATTTCGTGAAAGTATTTTTTTCATGCAGACATTTTGAAGACATTTCATGATTTGTGAAGCTGTTTGAAGACATGCGAAAGCTGAAGCAGGCTTCCGATGGATTTTTGTAAATTTTAACTTAAACCAATTGAATATTCACAGGACTTTACAGAAATAATCGATTAGCAGGAGATCCTTTGAAAACTTCCTGATCAACGTACAGTTTTGGGAGAATATCTTCACAATAATACTTGATCAACCTGAAACCTTGAAAAATATCCAGAGAACTTTAAAGGGTGTCCACGATGAAATTGCCACACTATGAAATTGCTCTAACTTTTTAACCGTTGGGTAGAATTTAATGAAAATTTGGGTGGATTTAGTTCATAGTGCATTATTTACATCCTGCAAGTTTTAAAGTCCTGTGATCAAAACTCGCGGAAATGGAGTCGAAAGAACAGCTCGTGCGTGATAAAATCTTGCGCATTTATCACGAGAACAAGGATCTCTCGCATCGTTCCATCGCTAAAACGTTGGGAATCCTGAATTCCACGGTGTCGCGAGTGATTAAGCGGTTCGAGGAACGGTTGACCACCGATCGGAAGCCCAGAAGTGAAGGAAAAAGTATTCCGTACAACACCAAAAATCACAACCGCGTAGTTGGGGCCTTCAACCGAAATCCGAACGCCTCCGTTAGGGATGTGGCTAAGAAGCTGCACCTAAGCCGAAGTTTTGTTCAGAAGGCCAAAACTAAGGCTGGGCCAAAACCCGTGCCAGGAAGTTGTACCTCAACATGCTGACGAAAGTTGAATGCTGCATCATGGACGACGAAACATATGTGAAGGCCGACTTCAAACAGATCCCCGGTAACCTGTTTTTCACGGCCAAGGATAAGTTCAGCGTTCCGAAGCATGTCCGCACTCAGAAGATGTCCAAATTTGCGAAGAAATTCCTGTTTTGGCAAGCCATCTGCACGTGCGGGAAGCGGAGTGCACCTTTCGTGACCCAGGACACGATGAACGGACAGGTGTACATAAAAGAGTGCCTCGAGAAGCGGCTGCTTCCTCTCCTGAAGGCCCACAACGTCCCAACAATCTTCTGGCTGGATTTGGCCACATGCCACTACTCCAAGGACGTGCTGAAGTGGTAGGGGGACAATAAGGTCAATTTCGTGCCGAAAATGTTCAACCCTCCCAACACTCCGGAGCTCCGCCCCATCGAGAAGTACCGGGCGATTATGAAGCAGCACCTTCTTAAACGACCTAAGGTAGTGAAGACAGTCGAGGAACTGAAGAAAGTATGGGTTTACATGCAAAAAACGGTTGATTCACAGGTTGTGCAGAACCTTATGGCCGGGGTTAAGGCCAAGGTGCGGGCATTTGCGTATGGACTGTAAATAAAATACGAGTAAAATGGTAAAATGAAGCTTAATAGTTATTTCTCAATCCCTGAAAATTTGATGGCAATCGGATGAAAACTCGAATTTTGCGAATCAATTTTGTGTGTGGCAATTTCATCGTGGACACCCTTTATTGTGATCTTCGATCAGCTGGAGATCTTTAAGTACTTCCTAACCGATCTACCATATTGAGAGAGCCAATTGAATGTTTGACTAGTTTAATATCTTCAGATTTCCTGATCAATCTGAATTCACTAATATCTGACCAACCAGCAATCTTGAGAGACTATCTAGAGACGTTATTTGATTTTTATGAACAGAATATCTTCAGAATAACAATTGATCCACCTGAAGCCTTGAAAATATTCAGAGGTCTTTAAATCTCGGACCAACTGCATATCCTTTAAATACTCTCTAATCAAACTTCCATCTTGGAAGGATGTCTAAAAGATGTCGTTTGAATTTTTGAACAGTTGCAGATCTTCAGAACATTACTTGATTTAGTTGAAAAGTCTTGAATAATATTATATTTCTATCATATTTATACGAAGATTCCTGTACTTTCAAGAAGTTTCTTGAACTTATACTCAGTTCCATGAACTCAAAACCAATATAAAGTTCTCTGAATATGTAGAATATTCAACGAAATCCTGGGATATTCCATCAACTTCATTGAAGTACTTCAGTACGTACTTCACAGATTTGTCCATAGCTTACATATTTCAATTTTTCGATAGGTACAACTTAATTTCTGCCCAGCTTGCTGAACTTTAAAATAATTCATGCGATGTTCCGTAATCATCGTCCACGAAGTTGTTTAACATTCTACGAAGTATCCTGAAGATCTATGATGGTCCCTGAAGTTTTACGAAGATCCACGAACTTCTATAAAGTTCTCTGAAATCAAATGAATGTCTCTTGACATCTAAGAAGTTCCCTACCCAAGTAAAATTGCAGGTTTTATCGCTGTTTTATAGCATTCTCCAAGTCTAAATCATGGTCTACAGAACCCTCATAAAACCAAAATTGTTACTTGGGTAATGTGACGTGATGTTATGGTTGTCTTTAGGATTAAATATATTAAATACATACTAACGGGTAAAACCGTAAAGGCAATGCATACCTTTGTGCGTAACAAAAGACAGTGATGGAGAGCTATGGAAGCCAGGATAGAAAACGGTGACATATAGAAGTTCCTCCAGAAGGAGTAAGCATTTTACAAGATTCAGCTCGCTTATCTAAGGAAGGACTCTAAAAACTGCAAATACTGAGTTTTTTTTCATCAGTTGAGACTAGTACTACGTACTTCCAACCATCTTAACAATGCATTTCAATGGTTTTTCGATCACCTATGAATTATGTTAATCTCGCAACGCTCAACTTGATTTTCGTCTATGTACCATCTAGATACGCGATTATAAAATTTAATAAAAATGTTCACGGTTTGTTTCACTGCTAGATCGTATTTTTCACGAGTGCTTCTTGTTCAATGATCATATACAAAAAGTGATATATGTGTACCATACTTTCGATAGATCAGAATGAATGACAAACGAAGGAAAGAGATATATTTCATAAGATGTGAAAGTTCTGGATTCTGATAATGGGGTAAAAGAGTGATAAAAAAATCCCGGCATTCACGCGATCCCGGGATTTATAAATTTATTTCCCGGGACTCGGTAATCCCGGAAAATGTCACAATCCCGGGATTTTAATTCCAGGACATCCCGCGATGGAAGCACTAATCAAGAGTGATTAATCGAACATATCGCACGCGCTCCTAGAATACCCCCAAATCAAAATAGTGAGCTCTTACTGATAGTTCATACAATCACTTAAAGTACTTCTCCAACCCCAACAAAAAAACACAATTGATTCATTCATCAACCCCTCTGAAAAGCCAAACCTTTGTTCTTCATAACCAGAACCCCCACAAATAATTGCGCCATTCCCCAGTACTCTAATCACTCACATGTATTGGTATTGCTGGTCAACGATTCCGAACTGATGTACTGTCCTCCCCCGCCGCTCTTCTGCGAGGGTGGTGCTGGTGGTTGGCTCTGTAGGGTTGTCTGTTTCTGCTGTTGTTGTTGTTGTTGTTGATGCGAGCTTTTCAGACTGGATGTCGCGGTCGGTGCGGGTGACGATGGGTGGTTCGGATGATACAAATGCTGATGGTATTGTTGTGGCTGTTTTAGCTGCTGTTGTTGTTGGTGGTACAAATTAGCCTTCTCGTGGTTTTTGCTGTCGATGGGCGTCGAATAGCTACAGGAATCCAGAAGCAAAACAAAAAACCGGATCAATTAATCACGATTAGTCTCGTGTATATCTATTAGTGCGGGTGATGGATGGGACGAATTTTCCGGGAACAGTGTGTAATTCAATAATGTTGGGACTAATTACTGGTCTTGGTTTGACTTTGGACTGCAGCAAGAAACAAAAAAATGACGGTACCTAGATGTGAACTGCGGTTCGTCGTAGTGGTGCTCCGTGGAAATGGACCGTGGAAGTAGCAAAGGGACATTCTGACCGGGTATCTTCGGTGCTTCCATTGTACTTCCGTTGGAGTACTCGTAGTTGTTCACCCGAATGTTAATATCCGGGATGATGCTGGAGTTATGAGTGAGCTTCTTCTGGAACTCGTGCGTGTAGGTGTGCTGATCCGGTGCGGTTCTAGTGATGCTGTACGAGGGCATCTTCTGGCGATGGCGGATATGAACCAGGAACACGAAGAAAGTGATGCACAGGGTGACAATGAATCCGAGTCCCAGGTAGAAGATCCAATCGGATGCTGGAATGAAATGGAAAGTAATACGATTTAATGTTCAAGCTCTTTATTCTGATTGAATTAGAGTTCATTTCAAGTAAATTATCATACAAAGAACAAAACTCAACCATGTGTGAACATTTAATATTTCTTTATTAAATAATGGAATAATGTTCTCCCCGAAAGACCGCAATTGGGAGTAGATAATATTTGGGTCATTCCAGCTCAAGTGGGTACAGAATTTTAAATAGTTGTGGTCGATGTCACCCATTTGAGCCAAACTTGGCCAAAACGCTTATTTTGGTATTCTGAACAAATGCCTTTTTTTTATTTTGCTCTGAAGTGCCTAGATCCCTCTCGGCTGCAACCCTGGATTTTCGTGATTCTTAAAAAAATCATCTTTCAGAAGAGATTACTCCTTAACTAAATAAGCTATTGGTGATCTTAGAACGTCAATTTAAAGATTTTTTTTAATGGTAATTCAAATAGGTGTACCCACATTTTGTTTTTGTTATAATAACTGCAGTAAACGAACTTTGCGGAATGCTGTTGAAAAAAAGTAAGAGGCAAATGAATGTAAATGATTTTCCATGCCTGATTGTAGGTAAATACGAGAGTGTTTTAAATTAATTACCGTAAGATTTAAAGAAAGTTCAGGAATTGGTGTAGCTTCAGGGAAGATAATTGCAGTTTCATAATTTCTTGAAAATATCGGAAATTTTGAGGGTTTCCCATACTACCAAGAAAGAACTATAAAAATGATTAGAAATATTCTGAAATTTTTCGAGATCATCACAGAAGATTTTCAATGAACTTTAGGGATTTTTAGGAAAGTTGCAACTCAATATATAAGTTAAAACCGCATGATTTTGTGATACGTTTTCAGAAAAGGAACTAACTAGATTTTACTTCTTGCAAGTCTAAAACAATAATGAATTTAATTATATTTGCCAGAAGTTGCAGAGGCCTCACTGGAGAAACGTTAAGTTAGGTTACTATATTAAAGAGACTTTTCAGCGGAGGAAACGTGCCTTAACTAGGTGGTGAAATAGAATTGCCGTCCAGTCTGTTGTCCAATTGCATGTTGCTACTCAGAGTATTTCGTTGAATTTGCTGACTATGAACATGATGATTGTGCCTGCTTCTCCAATGAGACTAATGCTGCTGCTAGTTGTTGTTGGTGAAAGGTTTTGATTTGATTGATTGATCCTTGTGTATGAAATTCTAAAGGTTTCTAGAACACTGCGTTCATAGCTTATATACTATAAAGTTCATCGCAGTACCAATAGCTACAGGAGAATTACACGAATTTTGATGATGTTCCTAGTACTTCAGGAAAGATCAGATAATCCCAGAGCAGTTCCATTATCTTCAGGAAAATAACAAAAATATTGAACTTGAACTTCTGGAAAATGCATTAAGCTTCAGGAACTTCCTATTATTTCAGAAAAAAAATCGGTAACTTTAGAGAATGGTCATTAGGAAAAATGAGGGAACTTTAGAGTTGTCCAAAGAATTTCAAGGGTGTATAAGGATTAAAATGGAAGTTTCGTGAGCATCAGAGTGGTTTGAAAAATTCAGAACAAACTTCAAGGCAGTTCTATTAACTCCTGGAATATTGTGGGAACTATTAAAAGTTCTTTATGGGTTTGATTAGGGGTTTGGCTTATCAAGATGCGAGTCTAGGACGAATTGATGACACTTCATGAGTGCTCTTCCCTGTTAGTATTTTTAAGTTTATGGCTGATTGCAGACAGGTTCTACGGTAGAAATACGCCATGCAGTTATACATTCCTAGATATAATTATGAGCATTCTTGAAAGGGGGCGCATGGATCGCTGATCTATAAAATCAGTACATAACCAGCTCTAAATTCACCATGACCGCACTGCTCAAAATGCATATTCTCTTTTCATCCATGGGTTTTGAACCATCATCTTTTCATTGACAAAAAAAAAATGACAATCTTTCCAATCCTCACACGCTGTCAACCGTGTCTCACCAATTAAAGCCCCTTATCAAGTTTCTTCTAAATGATGCCTTCAACCGTTTACAAATAGTTGCCCTGCGCCGTAAAAACGATCCAAATTTCAACAAACATTGTATTGAATAACAGCAATCCACCGTAGCTAGTACTATAAACCGAAATTCAAGATGTACATATACCAATTAAAAGAAAACAGGAAATTTTCCACTATATGCTCTTAATTTCACTGCACAGTAGTAAACCCCTTTTTCCCTCCGTTCAGCAATCTAGTGGTAATAATGGGCATCATTATCCCACAGTATTTTTTACCATTATTTGATCCAATTTCCAAGCAAACTCCGTTCGTTCTTCGGGGGATCGCTTGAGCTCGTCGAGAACAACCAACATGTGCTAGCTGCTCCGTGCCTTTCTCTAATAAACCGCATCTCACAGCACCAGCATCCGGACGGAGCCAACCCATAGATGAAGCCGAAGCAATTGAGAAGCGAGCAAATTTTCGACACACGGACACAGAAGGTATCATATTACGTAACATCGGAATCGATGCTCCTTTTTTCCCATCGTAACGAAGATCAAATAAAACGTTGAACCCTTTTGCGGTGCGTCTGCTCCGGCGACCCTTTCCAGACAAACAGAAAACGATGTTTGAATGGTGGTTAAGAATGGTCCAATTTTCGGAGGCTGTCTCTGCCTCCGCCCGCTGCGCGCCCCAATATGGTTGTAAATTGATGAAATTATTGTTGTTTACATCATTATTTAACGGTAGTTGATATTAAATTGATATGAACTCGACTCGGATGTCAAGATGGCTAAGGGAAGGAAGAAAGGGCCTTGTTGTTCTCATGAACTCAACAAGTACTTGAAGGTTTCATTGAACTGGCAAGCATGCTGGATGTAGTTCCGTCGATAACCAGCATATGCACGCTAGTGATGTTTTAATTTGATTTGAGGAATTAGTTTGGAAATCTCAATTCGCACGGATGAATGGGAAAGGCCAGTGCCCTCCTTGACGTAAATCTCAACACCCATGATGAGACAATGAGGCTGCGTCAGTATCTGGGTGTACAGTTTCCAGGTGGCCCGTGACTTTCCCACCGTATTTTGCCGTTCGTCACGATTTGGAGCCTTCTGCACTTTATGCGTATGCAGTCCCTCCCGGTCCTTGGCTCTCTGAACGAAAGACTTGGACAGATTCAACTTTTTGGCGACATCCTTGACCGAAGCATTGGGATTCTGCTGAAACGCTTTGACGACACACTTGTGATCCTGATCACTAATAGAACATCCATTCTGACCGCATGTCCCCTTCCGTTCGATGCTCAGAGTTTCGTAGTAACGTTTAATCACACGAATCACCGTTGACTGCACGATTCCGAGTTGTTTTCCGATGTCCCGATGAGAGAGTTGAGGATTTTCTAGGTGCTTGCGCAAAATCAATTCGCGACGTTGCTTTTCGGGTGACGCCATTTTTTCCAACTGACCAACCAACTGACAGCGATAAAAATACAGTGTGAACAATACACTATAAACTACTTCTACCCAAGTTTTCAAGAGAAAATTCCCAATGGGTAATTTTATACCGCTTTTTTTTTCGTGACGCAATTTGATGTGGGACACAGTCTGAAGGCACTTTTTTTGCAACTTTCATGTACCTCAGTTTATTCATCACAGGAAGTTAGAATGGATCCTAACGACCAAATCAGTGATGGTTTTCAAATATTTCATCTTGGGTTTTTTGAGAAAAAGTATTTTGAAGTAAACTTAGTCGTTTATGAAAGCGTATATGGACTACTGACGATACAAAACTATTACGGATCGAAAAAAATACAGCTGAATATGATTGTTGGAGATTAAAGTAGTCCTCTTCGGTACCGTAAGATATCGTAACTTTGGCATGATCTCAAAATGTTTAAAATGATAAAATAATTATACAATGGTTTATTCTCTAAATTTACTGTTATTATCAGTTCCATCTGTCTCATCCATTCTTATCAATGCATACATAAATATCTTAAGATAATGATAAAAAACATCGAGCTGTCAAGATAAGGAGATTTCTTCAAATGAGCACTACTATACGATACCACCGCTTTCATCAAGTTGTTGTCGTATCTGAAATTATTTTCCACTGCTTTATAGATACTCCATGTTTGCTTGGCAATTGCTGCAGCAGCCACAGAATTTGAAGCGTTATTGGAATTATTGCGATTGGATTGGCTGCGTTATTAACACTCGGATTAAGATCTTTCTTAAAGCTGAGTAAATATTCGTGAGAGATTTTTTACCTGATTGTTTTAAATTTCAGCTCACTGGTCTTCCAGCGACGTTTGAAAAACTAACCACGGCTAGTTTTTTGCTTGCTAACTCTCTAATGCTATTGGCAACAAAGTGATCCTTACTTTCATCAGCCAACTCGGAGCGATTCTGAAGTTTCCGGTTTTCACTACATGCATGACGTTCCCCAGGTTCTTCTGCGTCAGAAATGATTTCAAGGGGAAGGTCACTCAGCACATAGTGTCGAAATTAGATTCGGCACAGCTTGGGCACATCTATCGGCACACCTTCAGTACAATCTAGTAGGTATTGGATTGTTGTAAATAAATTGGGAGCACTGACGGACAACTGTCATTGAAGTTGTTCACAACATTAAGTGCTGTTTACTGTATATTCAGTAAAGTCCTCTAATTGAATATACCAGAGGAACTCAGACCAGCAGTTCATTTCTCGGTTCACTTATAGATCTAAATACGAAATGTAGGTTCTAGACTGGGCTCAAGAGAAAGAGGCAGTTAATCAGTACCCATTAGTACCCTTAATCCAAATAATGCTGTAACTCACACAAAACAAACTACAGAAGTCATATTCATCATCCTCTTCTATAGTTGGTCTCCAACAACGTTCCCAACCGGTTCCAACTCTTTCCGACCGCTGATAGACCGTTGCTTTTCACATCATGAAAAACTAAATTTCCAGTCTGCCGTTGAGCGCATTTTAAAACCCTAAAACACAGGACTTTTATTATCCTATGAACACAAAA